ATTAGATTAATTAATTTGCTTAATTAATTAGGTGGTCTGTAATATTTAATTAACTTATTAGTTAGTTAAATTGTATTATTCTTTCGGTCCCTCCGAGTGAGGGTTAACTTGTAATAAGTGTGGGTGCGTGTGTGCATGTCTTCCAACCCCCCACTTCTTTCTCCCTTTTACTTACCTGCTTTTGATGGTTAGTATTAGGGCATATTTAAATTTGTATTTCAAATTCCAAATTGAATACGTGCATCAATTGGTTGCATTTCACATGCCATGTTTAGGTTAGCCGAGCCTACTCTAATTACATCTTGCATGTGTTGCATTAGTCAATTTGACATGAACTAGGATCACGCATGTTTGCTAACTAGTTTATTGTTTTGGCACGGAGTACGATGTAAGTATTTATGCTTTAGCATCTCGCATGCGTGTGAATGCTAACATGATAGCATGCTTACTATGTGGCTAAGTGCTTATATGAGATAAACTGTTTGAATGCCTGTGGGTGAAGGTTGGATTGTCTGAGTTGGAAAAACTCGTTGAAATCCGTATTTTAGCCTACTTGCGAGTAGCAAATTCCAAAACATTTTCCAAAACAAACGGATATGCAATACTTATTTCCAAATTAGGCAATCTAGTCTATACTTGTTTGCTGCGAGCACAACATAGTAATTCTAGGCTAATAATTGGAATAAGAACACATAACGTTTTCAAAATCGGATATCATGGTTAGTAGAGGCCGGTCTTTGGACCGGGCGAAAGGGGGTGCTCATAGCTGACCTTCCCCGATCGTACCCAAGCTCCCGAGCTGAGACAACTCCGGTGATGATGGACACGTGGCCTTCGGCACCGAGTCAGGGTTTCCTAAATTCCCCCTTAAAAAAATATTTAGGTGGCGACTCTGTATCTGGCAAAGCAGTCCATGTTTGGCACTTCTTTCTTAAAATCTGTTTTCTCAAAACGATTTGCTAGATTTGGAGTCTTTGGTTCAAGATTAAGAACCGTGACACAAATCGAGTCCGAGCTGTAGTGACCCCAAACGAACAGAACGGGACTCACCCTCCCGGGGCGTTCGGGGGACGTCTACATATACAAACCATGGCAGGAAGGAGCTAACCTCTATGTACTACCGTGGCAGGAAGAAGCTAACCTCTATGAAGCGAAAATCCCAGCAATATTGACGACTGAGTTTGGTGTAACATTTTTCGTATGACTCGAGAACAGCTTGAGTATCCTTGTACTGCTGGAGCATGTAAGTTTCACATTTGATTGGAGGAAACCTAGTCGTAAAGCAGCAATAAAAAAAGCGAAGCTTCATAAAAACAAAGAAGTTCAACATATTTTTAAAGAATGTTTGTTAATGCACAAAGGTTTTCGATTAATTAGACCACAGCTTAGCTATTGTTGGATATCTCAACTTTCATAATTTTTTGTAAGGCAAAATTCACTTTATCCCCATATAGTTTGAGATCGAAGCACTTTACCATTTGTGATTTAAATATAGGCATATTGTCCCATTGTGATTTTGGACTAAATAGCAACCTAACATCTGTTAACGCTTATCGTCAAAAGACTATTTTACCGTTGCGTGAAAAGAATAATACTAATAATTTGCTTTATCTCTACTATTATACACTTAATTTTAACTTAATCACATATTTTATTAATTAAACCATCTATTAGCTTTCAATTACTATTTATTTATACACACACACACACACACATATATACACCTAATTATGTAAACTACTGAAACTGTTAATTGTACACAAATCTATATACCTAATTATTTAACCTAACTCCACTCCTAATTATACACACATGTACTTACATATATGGAGGGAGCTGAAGTAATGGCGATGGACGGAGAGGGGAGAGGGGAGTGCTGACGAGGGGCTGAAAAGGGAAAATGGGTCGGGGACAAGGACCGTGTAGGTAAGAGGAAATGGCAGCACTGGTGTTCAAGAAGGCAAGAAGAGGCGGGTGCACGGAGAGAGGCGATGGGGTGGTTGGAGGTGGTGGGAGAGAGCGAAAGTGTGGTTGGTTAGGGTTAGGGTTTGTAGGGATTTGGTTGCTCATGTAACAAATTTGGAAGTAATTGGATAAGATGAGGGCCAAAATGTCGTTTTCATTCTTATTTTTTTCAATTTTTTGTTTAAACAAATGCTCACTCTCCAAAGGTGTGTGCATCACAAATTATGTCAATTTTTTTTTTATTTTTTTTTTTAAACAAATCAAACTTTGTTAGTTTGAACAAAAAGGGTAACAATGGCAATTTAGCCCAAAACCATAAAGGGGCATAATCCAAATCAGCGCGTGCATTACAAATTCTGTTATTTTGAGCAGGAAAAGTAACGATTGATATGCCTATATTTGAATCACAGGCGAATCAAGTGCTCCGGACTTAAACCACAAGGGAGTAAAGTGAATTTTGCCCTTTTCCCTAATACCATTTGGCCTCTAAGTCAAATTACAAAAAAGGAACAAAACCCAAATCCGAATAGACCCTCCTGTCAAACTCAGCCCTTCCCCACCCTCCGGTGCCATGCCCAACGTATGTTACATGGACTCAGGTACGAGTGTCGGGTGTGGGTGCGTACCTAGAGGTTAAACCCATCAAATCTCAAATTTAAGGGTACACGGACTCGACAAAAAATGATCATATTTTTATATTTTTAGTCTATTATATGAGATAAAATAATGTTATACGTAACATATAATGTCAAAAAGGCATTTTACTCATTTTATAGTAATTATACAACCATATATACATATAATGATAACATTAAATATAAACATACAAGAGATGTCTAATGGAAAATATTGAATATATATCTTACACACACCCTTGTCCAAGTGTCGGGTGTCCGACACGGGTATTTAATCTATTTTAAAGAGTCCATGTAACATAGCTCCCAGCCCCTTACCCACCTTGAGTGCCACACTGGCACCTCGTCTCGTCCATCCCCTCTCTCTCTCCCCCCCAACCCCAATACACACACACACACACTTGTGCTACTTCCCAAGGCTCCCCACTTCATTTCCCCACCTCTCTCTCTCTCTCTCTCTCTCTCTCTCTCTCTCTGCTGGGTGAGATGGTTAGGATTTGGCCTTAAGAGGGAGAGAAGGGGAGGGGTGGGGGGTTTCATGGAGAGGTGTGGGGGCATCGGAAAAAAAAGAAGAAGAAGGGGTTGTCAAGGAGCAAGGGGAGGGAAAGAAAGGGGTGGTGGAGGTGGCGTCGGCGGCTGGGTGGTTAGCCGAGGTTGGGGTGTTCAAAGAAAATCAACAAAATTTAAATTTGAGAATTGGAGTGTCCAAAGGAAGGGGGTCCAACCATTGTTTTGGAGTACATTTAGAGCTTCCTAGTTGTTCGCATACATTGCACGTTTCCTCGTGTCATTGTGTGGGTGATGGTTAATTTGTGATCATACGTACTCAGATCAGTTGCAGTTATTAATGGTTAATTCATGTTCATACTTAGATCAGATACAGGTATGAACAGTTTATCAATGTTCAATTCATACTTGGGAGGGTTCTCTTGTGACTGGCAGGTGGGCAAGCATTCCACGACACAATCATGACTAGGCTCCACAAAGTATGCAATCTGCTCAACAAACCAAAAAACAAAAACAAAAAAGAGCCATTTTGTGTATTAGACGATAATATTGCATAATGAGGCAACAATCAACATCCCTTGCAGGAAATTCAATTAGAGAACATTCAAAAGCTTCTAAAGGAGCCTTACAGAATATCTCTCCTGACCATTACCCAACACTCGATGCAATGTGGACCTGGATAACACACAGAAACCCAAGTATCATAAAATTATAATCCCAACACTCAGACCATGTACTAGAAAAATTGACATTCATGTTGGTGGCAATGAGAAATTATTGTTCTGGAATTTAAGCTATAAAGAAGGCAATGTCCCATATCATACTCAATATTATCTCACAATGAACAACTAAAAAAAAACTATGGAATGATTGTCATGAAGCTACAAAGCCATCATTTTGACAAATGCACATTACCTAAAAATACAGTTGCTCCAGCGCTCTAGCATGTCACCAAGATTCACTATAAATGCTCTGAAAGTTAGATTTCAATCATCAAGACAGTAAGAAGATACTAATAATATAGTAAAATATTCATTCTACATCAAATTGTAGTAGCTAAATGTAATATATGGTCTCTTTCATGCAACTTCAGCGCATAATCACAAAAAGCATGTTACAATACTTAGACTACATCCAATAAAGGTGTCTAATATTGTCTAGAACTATGTAAACTTTTTTTCTTCTTTTTTTTTCTTTTTTTTTTAATAACTAAGAACGAATCCTAGCAGGGCCCTTCGAAACAAGTCAATTCTGTGAAGATTCTATTCAACAACCCTTTTCATGGTGCTACAAATTTCCATTTCTGAGTTTTAGCATCCTTATCCCTGCATATCTGTAATAAATTGAAAAGATTACAATCCCTTTTTTGCAAAATATAGTGGAAATATATTTCAAATTTTAACTATATCAGTACTTGGAGACCATAGACGTCATCTGTTGCCAACAGTGTTATCAAACCAAAATCAGAATGTGCACCTGTTCAGTATATTCCCTTCATGGGATCAGAAACTCTACCTGAAGAGTAACCAAACACTTGTCATGATACAAGTGACATCATTTACATTAGTATTCCATGATCTTTACTTTAATTTTCACTTTCATAATGTATCAGACGCAAGATTGCAATAGGCTTCCCAAGCATTTCTTGTCTATCAAAAAAGTCCACCTCTAGGTCAAGTGCAAGAGCTATGATCCTTGAAACTGCTTTTGCCACCTCACTACACTCATAAAAAAGATACATGAGGAAAATGAGAAAAAAAATCATTAAAATAACCATACAAACAATGTCATATAATATATAATAAAAAAACTGAAAGTATAAATTATGGTCAAACAAGTCACAAGACTTCAAATAGAATGATAGGTAACTGCTATTTTTGAGAGAGTCAAGAAATGGTGCAACTCAGAAACAGTGGTTGGATTCTGGTGACGAGACAGTGGAGAGGCGGTGGCGCTCAGAGTAAGGAAGGAAAAAATGGTTTCTTCACTGTATTTGTTGATAACATCCCTTCAGTAATGGACGCTAAAGCTCTGTACAAACTTTTTTCCAAGTTCGGGATCGTGAAGGATGCTTACATCCCATTCAAAAGAAGGAAAGTGATGAACTCAAGGTTCGGGTTTGTCCGTTATGACTGCCGTATATCAGCATCCGTTGCCATCCAAAAAGCGAAAGGCCTTTTTGTGGATGACATGATGCTTGTGGTTAAAATGGCTACCTACGATAGGAATAACAGATCTAAACAGAGCAAGAGAAAGTCTCAGGATACCAAAAGGAGCATGTATACAACTAATATCAGGGGCAGTGCTGCATACGTGGGCCACAGATCTTTTGCTGAAGTACTAAAAGGAGATACCTCTGTTTTGGATGGGCAATAGAGAGGGCAACGGTTGGCTCTATGATAGTGCAATAGTTAGATTTAACACAGAGTTTACCACACACAGCATTATGAAAGCTCTGAAAGAGAAAGGGTTGGAGCAGGTAGAAGTCAGGAAAGGGGGAGGTCGAGATATAATACTATCCTTTAAATCTACCAATGAGCTACAGTCAAACATTGGCAAGATTAGAGAGTGGTTCAAGGGCTGGAGCCAATTTGTGATGGTTTGGAAGCCAAATCTCCATCTGCAGCAAGAGAGGTGCATTTGGTTGAGGTGCTATGATACACCCCTGCATCTCTGGAATAGGAATACACTTAACAACATTGGTAAGGTATGGGGCACCATTCTCAGCCTAGATGGTGATATCTGTCATCCTAAATCTTTTTCTCACACTAGAATCAGAGTAGCTACTGCGTGCATGGAACTTATCAACAAAACCATTTTTTTGGAGTGTAAGGGCATCTCTTATTCCATTCTTGTATGCGAAGATCATTTAGCCGATTCAGGTGGGTTGAAGATATCAGGAATGGAAGACTCTAACTTCACAGAAGCCGGTAACAGTGAGGAGGTTGGAAACACTCCAGAGGCAGCTGTAAGGGACAAAAACGATGGTGATGAGGTGGCACAAATGAGAGCTTTGTTAGGTACTGACCAGGTTTGCACTAACGGGATTGAACAAAGGAAAGAGTCTAGTTGTAGTCACATAGGGAAGGAAATAGGAACTATGGTTGAAGAGACTCTCTGTGCTGGCGGCTCCATCAGGACAGAGGGAGCATGCGTTGAGGGGACTTTGATGGAAGGGTCAGAGCAAAATTCAAAAAATAATGATAGCAGATTGAGGTGTGTTCAGCAAGCTCCTTCATCTGGCAAATCTAAAGATGGATGTGGGCCTGGTATAAATTTGAATGTCATTTTAGCCAACGAACTTATTGAAGACCTTGGGCCTGGCATTGGGCATGGTATCAACTTGGAGGTTAATTTGGCCCATGTACCGAACAGGTCCCTAGCCAGTGGCTCTTCTAATAGGTCCGTTGAATCTAGTCATATGGCCCTTTTGCAATCTACTGGGCATTCAAACAAGTTAGGGCCAAATGGAATAAGTTTAGTAAATCTCAATCAAATAGCCCAAGTTTAATCTCTTATTCCTTATCCAGAACCACTGCAAACTAAGAGGAAAAAAGGGAAGAAGAAGGCTTATATAGAGGGATTCAACAGCTTTGCTAGATTCCATGGCTTCAGAACTGCAGCATCTCATAAGAATTCCTCCAAGTCTGTCATTTTTAGACCGGCAGCTTCTATCTTTGCTCAGTCTGATTTATCTGAAAGTGGCTCATCTTCGAACAGCTATCTTCTTGAAAAAGCCAAAGCTACTATACAATTGGGGAAATCATTGGGTGTTAATTACAACGGTGAGGAGGATATGGTTTTAAACAAGATAATTGACCTAGAGCTGAAGGATAAAGCCAGAATCACTAAAGAGGGGAAGGCTCAGAAATAAAACATTGCAGATGGGTGACTTGAGTGTATTATTCTGTTTACTTATGAAGCTACTTTCTTGGAATATTAGGGGTTTGGGTAAACCTGAGAAGAAGGGTAGAATCAAAAGTCTTATAGAAGACAAGCATGTTGATATTGTTTTCCTTCAAGAGATTAAGAAAGTAGTGGTTTCTGATAATGCTGTTAGAAGGCTCTGGGGATGCAGAAATATGGAATACATGTCTTCGCTCTCCTGGTGGGCTTCTATGTATTTGGGACCCTGCTGTCTTCCAACTCTCTGCTTGCTGTTGTAATAGGAGGTACATCTTGCTTTCTAGCTCCCTGTACAACTCTTTTGATTGTGTTTTGATTAACATATATGCACCAAATGATATCATTGCTAGATCAACTCTATGGGTTGATATCCTCAAGCTTAAAGACCATTTCCCTACTCCTTGGTGTATGGGTGGGGACTTTAATGAAATTAGGCATATAGGAGAAAGGGTAGGCTGCTCCAGGAGGGATAGGGGGATGCATCATCTTAATGAGTTTATTGGGAAATGTGAGCTCAATGATTTACCTCTTCATAGAAGGAAATACACTTGGTGTAATGCTTAGGAATCTGTGAAATGGAGTCGTATAGATAGAATTCTGCTTGGCCCTGAGTGGCTGATTAATTTCAGAATGAAGCTATGTGGACTGCCTAGATTAATTTCAGACCACTGTCCTCTATTGATGATGGAAGATGAAAGAGATTGGGGACCCAGACCTTTCAGATTTCTAAATGCCTGGACTCTTCATCCAAGCTTTTCCAAATTCTTTGTCGATATCTGGAGTAGCACTTCGGTCACTAGATGAGCTGGCTACATACTTGTTCAAAAATTGAAGCATCTAAAGCTAGAATTAAAGAAATGGAATGTTGAGGTATTTGGCAATGTCTCATCCAAACTCAAAATTTCAGAAGAGGAATTACATGCATTTGATATCTTGGCACAAGAAAGACCTCTGGTTCAAGCTGAAATGGCAAGAAGAAGAGTGGTCAGAGGAGAGATGTGGAAGCTGCACAAAATGGTGGAGTGGATTTGGCACCAGAAATCCAGATTGAACTGGACACTAAATGGGGATAAGAATACTAGGTTTTTCCATGTTTTTGCCAATGCCAGATAGAGTAGGAACATGATTAACTCTATTGAAGTTAATGGGGTATCTTATGAGGATCCAAACAGTGTTAAATTTGAGGTCAATCAACACTTCAAGAAACAATTTGCGGAGGATTGGGCTAAAAGACCTGTCTTGGGAGGGGTATTCAAGACCATTGGGACATACTATGTTTCTCATCACCTTGTCTCAGAGTTCAGTGAAGTTGAGGTATTGGCTGCAATTAAGGATTGCAATAGCAAGAAAGCTCCAGGCCCTAATGGTTTTAACTTGCTATGCTATAAGAAATTTTGGAAGGTTATGAAGCCTAAGATTATGCAATTTTTTGCAGACTTCCATTCAAATAGAAAACTGACCTATGGCATCAACAGCACTTTTATTAGTCTAATTCCCAAAGTGGACAATCCCACTGGCCTGTCTGAATTCAGACCTATCAGTCTTGTAAGTTCCCTTTACAAAATTCTGGCTAAAGTATTAACACATAGATTGAAGCCAGTTCTACCCTCCATCATTGGTGAAACACAAACTGCATTCATCGGTGGAAGGAACATCCTAGATGGGGTTTTCATTGCCAATGAAGTGGTGGATGGATAGAAAAAGTCCAAGAAGCTTGGTCTGATCTTAAAGCTAGACTTCGAGAAAGCCATTGATTCTGTGAACTGGGAATTCCTATTTTCTCTTTTGTCCAATTTTGGGTTTGGGAATAAATGGATTTCTTGGATAAAAACTTGTGTTTCTTCAGTTAGAATCTCTATTCTTGTGAACGGTTCACCAACTACCGAATTCTCACCACAAAGAGGTCTTAGACAGGGTGACCCGCTCTCACCTTTTCTGTTCAATATCGTGTCTGAAGGTCTTAACATTCTTTTGGACAGAGCAATTAATCTTGGCATACTTAGAGGGGTGCTCGTTGGGTCAAAGGATGTTCTTTTGTCTCATCTGCAATTTGCGGATGACTCAATTATCTTTTCTGAAGCAGATTGGGATCAGATGGTGCTTATTAAAAGAGTTCTAAGATGCTTCAAAGTTTTATCTAGTCTTAGAATAAATTATCACAAAAGTGTGGTGTGTGGTGTTGGTGTGGACAATGCTCTCTCGCTCTCCTTTGCAAAGCTCCTCAACTGTCAAGTTCATAGCCTACCTCTGAGATTTCTGGGTCTACCTCTTGGTGCCAACCCCGGGAGAAAATCTACATGGAAATCTGTGCTTGACAAATTCAGATCCAAACTCTCGAGGTGGAAAAGAAAATGTTGTCTTTTGCAGGTAGATTAACTCTAATAAAGTCCACCTTATCTAGTTTACCAGTTTATTTTCTCTCTTTATTTAAGATGCCTGAAGGTGTGGCTAGAGAAATCGAGAGGATTGAATCAGCTTTTTTATGGGGTGGTAATGACCTGAAAAGAAAAGTCCATTTAGTGAAATGGGGGGAGGCCGCAAAAAGCATTAATCAAGGGGGTGTAGGCATTAGAAGAATCAGAGATGTAAATGCATGCCTATTGCTTAAATAGTGTTGGAAATTTGGAACTCAAATTAACTCTCTTTGGAGGAGGGCTATATGTAGCAAATACAAGATAGATGAAGCTTGTTGGAATCCACCGATAAGATTCTCTTACAAACATTCTAGAGTTTGGAAAGTCATCTTATCTATCGGGAATCATAGCAGTAATATTTTCAATTTTTATGTGGATAATTGTCAAATTAAAGTGGGGGACGGAAATAGAATTAAGTTTTGGCATGACAAATGGTGTGGCAACACTTGCCTTAAGAATGATTTTCCCCTCATTTTCAACCTCTCAACTGATAAAGATGGTTCTCTTCATCAATACTTTGCAAGGAAAACCAGCCCAAACATTTGGAATTTTCCCATTAGAAGAGTGATGTTTACTTGGGAATTGGATGAAGAATCTAGTTTGCTTAGAGCCCTATCTTCAGCCCCTTCTCTGTCTCTTCACAAAGCTGACTTTTATTTTTGGGCTTGTGCTACTGCAAGCACTAGTGAGTTTTCTGTTTCTTTAATATACTCTTTCAGTAATTCCATCCTTGGTCCTCATCTTCCAATCTGTAATCATATTTGGAATAGAGCTGTCCCTCCTAAGGTTTCTTTTTTTCTATTGGTTGGCTTGGAAGAACAAAATTAAGTCAGCAGAATTTATGCACAGAATTGGTATTTTAGACCCTTCTGTCTCCATCAGTTGCACCTTCTGTGGCTATGACTCTGAATTTGCTTCCTAAGTCTTGCATTACTGCCCCTTTTCTTGGCTGATCTGGTCTTCAATTATTCGCGAATGGTGGCTTTCTTGGTGCATTCAAGATTCAGTTGACGGCCTTCTCCAATGGTGGATGAGTGTAAACTTCAAGCACTTTGA